CAGAGCATCCCTGTCTGCGGTGCCACGGGGTGTCCAGGACAGCCGCTGGCCGTGCCCAGGGGATGCCCCCAGCCCACTGCAGCCCCAGAGGGGGATGAAGCCCCTGTGCCCGACGGGCACTGACCTTCCCAGTGCTGCGGCAGAGCCCGCAGGCAGCGTTGGTAGGGAGATTCCCGATGGCCCGGGTGAGGGATTTGGGGCTCACAGGAGCCAGCACAGACAGGGCAGTGCTGGGGGATGTGCCTGCCTCTGGGCAGCCCCGCTCCCTGGCAGGGCACGGCAGCCTCTCGCTGCCAGCCCAGCTCCCACAGCTCCCAGCTGAGGCCTCGTGCCCCAGCCGTGTTCATCCCTTCCCTGTCAGGGAGCAGAACGGCACCAAGGCCGAGCAGGTCTTTGCCGAGGTGGCCAAGGTGATTGGGGAGTACCCTGTGGACTTCCGTGGAGCTCGGATCCTGACGGGCACAGAGGAGGGCTCCTTCGGCTGGATCACCGTCAACTACCTGCTGGAGACACTCGTCAAGGTGTGAGCTGGGGGAGAGGGAGGGGAGGGCTGAGCGCTGAAAATATCCCTGTCCCAGTGACAGCCAGGGTTCTTTGTTCCAGAGGAGAGAAGGATGTAGTTTTAGGGCACTGGTCCCCCCATAAATCTCACCTGTGGTCGTGGGCTGCAGATCCAACCCGAGTGACGCGATGAACAGAATCTTTGTGTCCAGCTCAGCCCAGCCCTGTGCTCTCCGCTGACACAGGGGTGGATTTTGGTACCACAGGGGTGCAGCGGTACCAGGTTCCAGATGAAAGTGTTCCTTTTTCCCTCCTCAAAGTCCCTGGTTCCCAGAAACAAGGGGCCAGATCTCAGAGCTCCCTGGAAGTTTCTGTGGGTTGAGGAGGATGTGGGCCGGGGGGGTAAAACAGGGAGACAGGACATGGAAGGTCCCTCTGGGGCTTCTGAGCCCAAAAGCCATGAGGGTTTTCCCAGGGACTGGGAGTCCCTCCCGTTCAGACTAACACGTGCTGTCTCTTGGGCCAGTTTTCCTTTGCAGAGAAATGGGAACATCCAGAGGACACCGAGGTTCTGGGAGCTCTGGACCTTGGAGGTGCCTCGACACAAATAACCTTCCAGCCCGGAGTGCCCGTGGAGGACAGGAACACCTCGGTCTTCTTCCGCCTGTACGGCACCAACTACTCTCTCTACAGCCACAGCTACCTGTGCTACGGGCAGACACAGGCCCTGAAGATGCTGCTGGCAGCTCTGCACCAGGTACCACAGCCTGGGGCCTCAGGATGTGCTCAGCCATCCCCCACTGCCACGAAAGGTGTCTCCCAGGAACGCTGGGCATGCCTGTGGATAAAGTGTTAGGGAACTGGGAGAGCTTGAGATTTTATCTATGGAACCAAAGAATTCCTTCCTTTGGGTGGAAGATGGGGTGGTTCCCCGCCAGGGCTCCCTTCTCCCCAGATCTGGATGTGTAATAGCATTTTTTGTCATTTCCCAAGCCCAGCTGTATCCGTAGGTTTTCCCTGTCCATATTCTCTCCCCCTTGCTCAATTTGTGCCCGAGAGAGGATTCCCAACACAGTCCCCACGCTGCTCCAGCACTGTGCAGTGTCCTCCTGCCTGCCCTGGGCCCGAGCGCTCAGTGCCCTGGGAGGCAGGGATGCTCAGGAAGCACAGAGTCGAGATCCATCCTTGGTCCTCCCTGGGCCAGGGCCTGCAGGGTGCAGTGGGGACGGAGCGAGTGCCCAGAGCACCAAGCTCTCCGTGCGGGCAGAGCACCAGCACTGCCCTGGGGAGCAGGTGCCACTGCTGGGGGTGGCAGTGCCATCGTCCCCCCGGCACGGCTCAGTGGTGGGGGGACAGGGAGAGCCGTGGGCAGGTTAGTCGTGCACAGGAGGGATCCTGCTTCTCCTCAGATCCTCCTGGGGTCTAGGTGCTGCTTTTTGGGCTGGGCTGCGGGTGGGGTCTCCCTGGCATCCCACGCCAAGCCCCACTGATGGCTCCCTCTCTCTCCAGGACAGCGTGACTGCCCAGATCTCACACCCCTGCTACCCCATGGGGTACCAGGAGAATGTCACCGTGGCAGAGCTCTACGACAGCCCGTGTGTGCGTGCCCCCAGCACAGCCAGCCCTGCCCAGGTGCTGACGGTGACGGGCACAGGGGACCCAGCCAGGTGCATCACGGCCGTGCAGAAACTCTTCAACTTCAGCTGCGGGGCCCAGAGGCCGTGCGGGTTCAACGGGGTGTACCAGCCCCCCGTGCGGGGACAGTTCTTTGTAAGGAGCCTCCGTCCCTGCAGGTGGAGGGGGAGTTGGGTTTTGGGCCAGTCTGGATGGTGCCAGTCCTGGGAGCTGGGATGTCCCTGACACATGGAGACACGCAGGGTGCTCACCCTTGTGCCAGGGAGCTCCAGAGCTCTGTGATCCCAGCTGTAATCCCTGTTGTTGTGGGGAACATTCCCAGCTCCCTCTGAGCCACTCAGCTGCCTTATAGGGACCCCTCTGGTGGGGGCCGAGGAGAGTCAGTGGCTCAGGTGCTTCACCAGCCTGTCACCTTTGGTCTCAAACACCTACAGGCCTTTTCCGGGTTTTATCGCGCCTTTCTCTTGCTGAACCTGACAGGAGGGCAGTCCCTGGCCTCGGTCAATGCCACCATCAGGCAGTTCTGCGCCAGGACCTGGGACAAGGTGAGATCATGCCCAGGAAGTGCCACCCCCTGCCTACATTTCTTCTGGGTGCTGGGCAGCCTGAAAGCTCATCCACAGTCCATCCTCTGCTGGGGACAGCTGGGAGGAGCACAGAGGTCTCTGAACCTGGAGAGAGGTGGGAGAGCAGCCTGTAGCCTCCCAGGTCCTCCTTGCTCTCCCAGTCTTTGCTCCCTGCTGCACTGAGGGGCTGTTCCCCAGCGTGGGCACACCGAGCACTGCTCCCTGCTGGCAGCCCACCCCTGTTCTCCTACCTCTGCAGGTGCAGAAGTTGTTCCCCACAACAAGCAGGACCCACCTCCGTGACGCCTGCGCAGTCAACTCCTACATCCTCACCCTTCTCCTGCAAGGCTACAAATTCAACCAGAAAACATGGCTTAACATCCACTTCATCCGACAGGTAGGAGAGTGCCTGGCAGCCCCCAGCTTCCACACTTTAGGCCATGAAATGGCTCATGCCTACCCTGCTGCTGCCCCTGCCCTGACTGGGGACAAGGGATGCCAGGTCTGCACAGCCCCCCTGCCCATACCCAGAGCTACATCAGGCACCTGCTGGTACATCTGGCCTGGCCCCTTATGCTCTCCCCCAGTTTATCTCACTAATGGGGCCTCTGCAGCCCAAAGGTGGGCACAGATATGGTGGCTGTGGAGCAGGACCTGGGGGTACAGCAGCAGAGGTCTTCTCTACATCTCCAGCTTGCCTGGTACTTTGCAGCCTTTCACATTCCTCTTCCTCCTCTGTCTGCACAGGTTGCTGATGTAGACGTGGGCTGGACTCTGGGCTACATGCTCAATTTAACCAACATGATTCCCTCGGAGCCTCCTCCAGGAGTCATAGTGCTCCAGAGGAAGAGCTGGATAGCAGTCGCAGTTTTACTGGCCATCATGCTCATCCTCACCTTCTGCCTGCTCACGGTCATGTGCCTCCAGAGGAATTCCTCTGGCTATGAGCGTCTCTAGCGCTGGTTCCAGAGGCTGCTGAGGCCACCAAGTTCCACTGCCACACCTGTGCAAGGAGCTGCTGCCCAGGGAATCACCCCTGTGTGCCCTGGGGCCATGGATATGTTGTGGGGGGCCCCGAGCCCTGTCCTGGAAAGCTGGAACTGGCACATGCTGTAAGACATCCTCCCCGTAGCTGTGTGCTCTCTGGTTTTCCTTTCCCCACCCTGCTGGTTGGAGATGCTCCAGGAGGGAGGGCACGGCCATGCGGAGCAGGGGCTCAGCACTGTGGCATGGGGACCACAGTGATGTGGGGTGGCTTGAGATTGGGGGTCAGGAAGGAGAGAAGGAGGGTCTGGCAGCAGTGGGGCCATCACAGAGCTGGCTACAGCCCGCAGGAGATACCCCGTGTGGGGCAGACGTGTCCTGCCCCATCCCAGCGCGAGGGTCTGCCTGTGGCCGGTGCCAGCCCGAGGGGCCGTGGCTCTGGGGGGGACACTGGCCTGGACTCTGCCCAGGACTGGGAAGCCCTGTGAGGTGGGGGATGGCACAGCCCTCTGCTCTCCTGTGCCAGGTTCCTCCCCTGTCCAGCTGCACCCTGTGCCACACTCATCCTCCCTTTCCAGCACAGGGTGATTTGGGAAGGCTGCTGGGACATGTCAGGGGCAGCTGCCAGGGCCCCCCTTACATTTCTGGGGAGTCCCACTGACAGCCAGTGATGAGTGAGGTGACGCACCCTCCTCTCAGAAGAAAAAGGCCTGTCCTTGTGCCCTGCTGGTCCTCTCCGAGGTCCAGCAGACACCTCAGTGTCTCCAGGGTTGTCTCCCACAGACTAGAGCAGTGTCACCTCTCCCCTGAGTTCCCAGCATCATCACCTGCCTTTACCTGGAAGACGGACGCAATAAAATCATAACAGTTTGGGAGCAAAGGAACAGACATTTTCCCATGTGCTGCCTTTTATGATCTTTATGTGGGTCACAAGAGCTGTGAGGTGTCCGACACTCCACAGGGACACCAAAGGTCAGCGCCTCGCTGTGGGAATGCAAACAACAACATGAGTCATCCACGGGGCAGATAAAAACAAGCAGAACCAAAGGCAGGGGCACAGAATGCTGGTTTAAAGGTAAATCAGCAGGAGAAATGAACCCAACTCAAAAGAGATTATAAGTCAGAATAACAAATTAATAAAAATAATACAATAAATACAATTATACAGACGAACAATTGGTTTAACCCACAAAACCCAGATGTATAACCCAGCACCCTGGGGCATGAACAGAATGGTGTTCATTGGGCCCCCCTGAGTCCAAAGTGAAAGGAGAGGGAAAAACCTGTTGGTGAGAGTGGTGGTTGCAGTCTGGTCGAGAGGGGTGATCTCAGTCTGGTTGAAAGTGGTGCTCGCAGTCCGGTCGAGGTTCTGGTCCTCCTTTGGATCCAACAAATGGTACCAGAAGTCCCAAGACCCCAAGATTATATACCCTCAGGTTCAGGCAGGAATGCCCAGTACCTCCCCCAGGGTGGGGAGTTCCACAATGGGTGAGATATTTTTGGAATCCTTGGTGGCCCATTAGCAGACATGACCCCTCAGGCTGGGTGTGGAGGTGCTAATGACTCCCTGGAGGGGAGTTAACATCACCCATAACTACAGCCTGAGGAGTCAGGTGTGCTCTGGGCAGCTGCTGCAAATGGTCTGTTGTTAACAGTTCCTGGGAAATGGCATGGAGGGTGTAGAATACACAGTTTGTGTTACACCCACACAGTGATGAACTGGTCCCAGCTGTTCTAACTAGGACACAGCCGTGGGCAGGGCCCAGCTGAGCCATGTGCAGGTCAGGACCCACAGCCTGCTGGAGTCTCAGCCTGACACTCACAGAGCCCAGGCCTTCTGCTGGTGGGACAGTGTTGCCTCCACTAAGGCACTCAGGAACATCAATCCCTTTATCCCACACAAAGGAAGATGATGAGATGAGATGGTGAGATATGATGACATGACATGACATGACGACGAGATGAGATGGACCCTCTGGAGGGGCACAGACCACGCTTCTGACTTTGGATGCTCAGTTTTCCTTTTCTCTCCAAGACCATCTCCACATAAGCCCAAGCGACAGACCCTGAGCAGATGGGGTCCTGCAGAGCCCTGCATGCCTGCACACCTGGAGACAAGTGCCATGCCTGGCACTCCTGGCAGGGACCGAGGTCATACCCAGAATGGCTCGGAGCACCCCAACACCAGGTGCCTGCAGCCAAGCACCAACAGTCTGACACTGGGGAGCTCTTCCAGAGCCAGGCTGGCTCTCATGGGCCCACATTCCAGGGGGATGGAGCTGTATCTGTAACAGGCAGCAATGTGAGAAGGCAGACAGGCATGGCTGAGGCTTCTGTAGGCTGATCCCATCAGGTGTCCATGGGAGCAGAGCTCCTCTGTAAACCTCACATAGTGCCTGTCTGCATGTTGGGGGCCAGTCCCATGGGAGGCCAGACCCCAGTTCTTTGGTGCCAGTCCTGTAGGCAGGAGCAGAGGGGCCCCAGCACAATTTATACCTCCTGGGCTCCGAAGCACAGCTGGGCTTCTACACCCACAGGAGCAGCAGCAGGGCAGTGAGCCCCAAGACAAGGGTGAGGATGATGAAGGTGATGGCTGCAGCCCACAGAGAAGGCATGTGCCCCTTCACCCTGGTTGGAGCCTCTGCCGGGATCATGTTGGTGAGGTTCAGCATGTACCCCAGTGTCCAGCCAACGTCAGCACTCCCTGCCTGCCCAGGGAGAGAGGGAACAGAGCGTTAGCCCTGCAGGAAAGCCACTGATATTACAGGGCCACTATTTCTGCTCAGCCCAAGCGGGGTGCAGTAGCTGCCCCCACACCAGTGCCACATCAGGACAGAGACAGGCAGGGTTCTCTGGACCATGGCTCCCCCTGAATCACAACACAGGGGATGGATCTTCCCCAGTGCCACCTCTGCTCCCCCTCACAGGCTGAGAGTGCTACCCACCTTCATCTGGAAGAAGATGTTTTTCCAGCTGGTCTCATTGAACTTGTAGGCGTCGAGGAGGAGTGTGAGGATGTAGTTGGCATTGGCACAGTATTTAGGCAGTCGCTTGGGATCCTCTTTAGGGTAGCTGGAAGATAGCTGGGATGGGGAACATTTGGGGATGAAGGGAAGTTGTTCACAGGCAATTTCTGTGCAGGGACAATGCCCTGACAAGTGCTGCATGAGCGGCAGTGGCTCCACAGTCACCAGCATCCAGAAAAAGACTTCTGGACCAGGCAGTGATTTTGGACCTCTCTACACAGGGCCACTCCTTTGGGGAGGATTTACGTTCCACATGGAAACAGAGAGACATATTGGAGCTCCTCCTGCCCCAGATTCTCCCATCTCTCTGCCCCATGGTGGTGCCACATCTCTGGGTCTTATCCATCCCCATTTTTTGCCCAGAGAAGCTGTGGCTGCCCCATCCCTGGAAGTGTTCAAGGCCTGGTTGGATGGGGCTTGGAGCAACCTGGGCTAGTGGAAGGTGTCCCTGCTCATGTCAGAAGGATGGAACAAGATAAGATCGAAGGTCCTTCCAACCAAACCAGTCTGGGATTATACAATTTTATGGTTTGACTTGTCTCCAGAGTGGTGCCAGCAGCTGTCTCTGCCCTCACCATCCTCCCGTGCCACAGATCCACCTCCATTCCCATTCCCACCTCCATTCCCAGCTCCTGTGCTGCCCTTGCCTGCCCTGGTGCATGAACATCCTGGAGTGGGTGCAGGACAGTCCCAGTTCCACACAGCACAGGGATGGCTCAGCTGTGTAGGGCACAGCTCAGAACTGAGGAGCCTTTCCCTGGACGGGTCCCTGCTCCTCTCCCCCCACCCCAGAACCCCTTTGCTTGTGAAATTCCCCCACAGCCTCCGTCATGGGGAGCTTACATCTTCCCAGCTCCTTGTGCAGAGCTGCTCGATGGCCTCCCTGGCTGTGGCCAGCGGCTGCCCCTCCGTCAGGTTGAGGAACTTGAAGTTGTAGTAAAAGGCAGAGAAGGCCTGAAAGGAAGAGGCAGAAATGCTGGTGAGCTACAGTGGGGAACCCCCAGCAGCTGCCCCCGTCTCCCCTGGATCAGGAGGTCGGGTTGGTCCTTCAGAGGATTTGCCCCATCCAGGGTAGTCCCAGGGCAGTGCTGTCCCTGTCCCAGCAGAGGATGGGCTGGGAGGTCAGTGCCTGCTGGTGACAGCAAAGCGACAGCCAGTAAAGGCAGAGCCTTGCCTGAAGGCTGCTGGCTAAACTCCTGGGTTTTTACCAAAAACTTGGGTTTTGACAAACACCTATCTTATTAACACATCCTTGGAAGTGTTTAAGGCGGGGTTGGATGGGGTCCTGAGCAACCTGATACAATGGGTTGGGGCGTGGAATGAGATGATCCCTTCCAACCCAAACCGTTTTGAGGCTCTGTGATTATTAACACGGTCCCTTTTAGAGATTTGGCTGAAAAACCAGGCAGTGGCAATCTTTGGCATGTCCAGGGACAGTGTTAACTTAAGAGCTCCTTTCCCCGGTTCTCTGCCGGGAGGTGACAGTGCCCTGGGGCAGGCGGGCACACCACAGCGCTCAGGGACATGCCCTGCCCTGGGGCGGGAGGGCGGATCTGCCTTACAATGAACTGCCCTCGGAGCGGGGGCTGGTAGACGCCGTCGAAGGTGCAGTCCCGGCTCTGGCCGCACGCCGAGAAGTTGAACAGCTCCCTGACGGCTGCCAGGCACCCGCTGGCATTGCCCCTGCCCTCCAGGGTCACCGTGCTGTCACCGGACAGGCAGGCGGGCCGTCGCTCCGGTCGGTGCAGGGGCTGGCGCGGAAGGCGGACAGACGGACCGTTTCATTGTAGCCCTTTGGGTAGCAGGGGTGGTAGACCCGTGTGCTGGGGGCTGATGCCTGGGGACAGCAAAACACAGGCTGCAGCCTCCTCCAGACCCTCCTGGCAGGCAGGCCGGGGCCAGGACTCACCCAGAATCCCCCCAAGGCCACGGGCACCGGCATCTCCCACCTCCTCAGCAGGAAAGATCCTCCTGCTGTCCAATCCTGGTCTTGTTTGGCTGTCTTTGTCCCAGCCTGGGCCCAGCACTAATTCTTACTCTGCTTTGTCTCATCCCCTCTTCCACTGAGGGAGACCTGTTTCAGAGTCCCAGAGTGTGTCTCCCCTGGCCAGCACGATCATTTTTGGGGCATGCAAAACCCTCTACACCCAGCTCTAGCTCTGGCTCTAACTCCAGTCCCAGCCAGAGGCAGCACCTGGGACCTTCCTGGCTGTACAGCAGGAGCAAACCCCTCTGGATCACCAAGGCTGCTCTCCTGGCAAAGTACAGCTCCATGAAGACATGTTTCACCTCTGACCTTCGAAAAAATGGTCCAACAAAGGTCTTCAGTTCACTTTTCTCATGTTCTTGCAGTCACAGAGTAGTAGCTGAGTTTCAGGGGGACCTGTAGGGTCCCTGTGCCAATCCCTTCCTTAAAGCATGACCAGCTAGAGCAGGTCACTCAGAGCCTTGTCCCATCACGTTCTGAGTAGAGTATCTGAGTATCTCCAAGGATGGCAACTCCACACACTTCTGGGTTCTATTCTGATATCTGAACATTTTTATTGGGGCAATCTTTTCTCTTCCATCTGGTTTGAAACTCAGATGTTCCAACTTGTGCCTGTTGCCTCTTGTCCTGGAACTTTGCACCTCTGAGAAGAGCCTGGTCCCACATTTTTGTGCACCCTGTGTACAGCCAGAAGATCTCTCCCGAAGTGCCCTTTTGACTTCCCTCATCCCTGGAAGTGTTCAAGGCCAGGTTGGATGGGACTTGGAATAACCTGGGCTAGTGGAAAGTGTCCCTGCCAATGGCAGGGGGGTTGGAACAAAATGGTCTTTAAGGTCCATTCCAGGGATGTGATTCTATGATTCCCGTGCTCCTCTCCACATTTGCCCTGCCATGCTCCAAGGAGCATGTACTTGCTCTCAGTCCTTGCTGATACCTCTCTGAAAGAGCCTTGCCAGGTCTTATTTTATGCATTAACAAGTCTGTGGTTGGCATCATGAGACCAGAGGCCAATTACCCCTCAGTTCCTTCTCACCGCAATTAATTCCTTTGCCAGCCGCTTCAGCATCTCGTTCTGCCCGTAGCAGAGGTAGCTGTGGGTGTAGATGTTGTAGTTGTACCCATACAGGGTGAACTTGGAAGCTTCATTCTGGTTTAGCACTGAACCTTTAGGCATAAAGCTGATTTGAGTGGATGCTCCTCCAAGATCCAGTGCCCCAAAAATGTTGGCCACCTCTGGACGGAGCCACGTGTGTGCTTTGGGAGAGAACTGCCAAGGAGAGACAGGAAAGGAAGAGGAGCAGTACATGGCTGGGTTTACTTGCTCTCAGCAGAATTCTCATCCCATTGAACTCAACAGGATTCTGTTGCTAAATTCAATGGGCATTTGGTTATTCCTGTACGTGAGGCCCCACCAGCTCCCTGCCCAGCCAGCCTGGTCCTTTACCAGAGAGATGGAACTGTCTGATGGTCAGGATGTGCCCACATTCTGTGGGCTCACCTGGCTCTGAGTCACCAGTCCCCAGACCAAAGTGCTGGTGGGCACCTGGGGCCCTGCCCTTCCCAAGGACCAGGCTGCAGAGGGCTGGTGCAAGGGGAAGGGTGTTCTGTCTCCGACAGCTCGCACAGGAGCCCAACGATGTCAGCATCGCACTGTGCCGTGGCAGGGCTGGGATAGAGGGTGGCAGGACAGAGTTTTGGTCCAAGCTGCCTTCAGACTGGCACATTGAACCAAAGCTGGTGTCTTTCAGTGCCACAGGGAGATGGAGCTTCCCAGGGCAGTGAGACAAAGCCCAGCAAGAGCAAATGGTCCCCACTGGGCTGTGCAGCCAGCCTCGCTGTCCCCGAGAGACCCTCTGTCCACACGGTGTGGGATTGCCCTGAGCTCTTAACAGACACCCCCATTCCTGAGTTCTCCCCCATTCACTGTGGGCAACCAGAGGATAAGTCCCTCCTTCCCCTGGGATATGCCCCAAAGCCTCTAACCCTGACATCTCCTGCGCTAAGCAAGCTTCAGGAAAATCAGAAAAGCTTTACTAGCAGAGGAGTGGGTGTTCGACCCTTCTCCCACCTTAGTGAAGGAGTCCAGCAGGTAGTTGATGGTGATCCAGCCATAAGCCCCCTCCTCCTCTCCCGTAAGGATTCGGGCCCCTTTGAAATCCACAGGGTACTCTTGCATTGTTTTAGTGACTTCGGCCAGGACTTGATCTGCTACTGAACTGTTCTGTTCCCTAGGAAAGACTTAAAGGTCAAGACACATACCCAGCTAAAACCAGTACTACAGAGGAAATCTCAAAGTTTCACATACTCCCAGCCCTTGCAACAAGCAGTCTTTATGAAAGGAAATTTCCTGCTGCGTGAAGCTGCTCGTAGGGTGTAAATCCCAACTGTCTAGACTTGGCATCACACATCTAGGAGCAAGAGCAACCTCATCCCTCCAGTGCAACTTGATCCCAGTGACACAGAGGTTTCCCAGGACACCCTTCCCTGCCTAAGTATCATCACAGTGCTGGGGGACAGAGGGAGTTGTGCTGCAAGACCCAGATTTGAATGTCACCCACTGACTGCGCCCAAGGCAGGGCTGGTTGCTGAGCTCCAGGGGGTGTTTCAGGAAGGTTCCAGCCTGGTTTCAGACATCTGAGTGGGGAAGATATCTCAGGGCTCGCTCTCTGAAGCGAGTAACCCTCAGGCTATGGCCCAGCTCCTTCCCAGGGACAGGGTATGACTGCCAAGGCACAGGAATAACGTGGGATATCTGCAGCCGTAAAATCAAGAGCCATGAAATGAAGGCTGATATTTGAAGAGAGCTAATACGGGCTGGTGAAAGGTAACAGCAGGTCCTGCATCACCTCATTGCCTCTGACCCGTGCTCCCCCACCAGCACCCATCCACCTGGGCAGGTGGCACATCCCCTGGTGGTATCTCAACTCCCTTGTGCTCAAGGAATCATGAAGAGCAAACAGAGCTCTGAGAAGCGTTTCTTGCTTGGAACTGGGCATGCAGCACCATCCCAGGATGTGGGCCCCTCTGAGCAGTCCCTCTGTCCCAGAGGCAATGGCTCAGGACAGCTCAGTCACACCCCTGTCCCCACAGGGCTGCCTTCTCCCCTTATCCCCATTCACCCATCCCTTGCTCATGGCAGAGTGGGATCTGGGATCCTGGCCCCACACAGGACCCTGTGTCCTGGCAGTGGCTGTTTGCAGCTCTGTCACTGCTGTCACCCCCGTGCCCCACAGCAGTACCTCAGTAGCCTCATGCCAGCTGTTGCTCCAAGATAAGCTGGGACATCCCTCTGTTTCGCAGCAGGAACAACCTTCAGGGCTTTATCCAAGCATTCCCTTAGGGAATCACCGGCTCTAGGGGGATCGTAGGCATAGCTTGATATGCCGGGCCCTGGAAGAGAGTCAGGCTGGGACAGGCTGGTTGGAACAGCTCGGGAAGGGGATGAGGGAGGGCTTAAGGCAGTGAGGTCTGTCGCCCCTTAGCAACAGAGGTGCTTTTCCAGGGTCCCCTGGAGACCTGATTGACCCACATTTATTTCCTCTCCTATGTATTCCCAACATCTCCCATGCTTTCAGTGTCCCCAGCTCTATGGGTAACACCTTTCTCAGCCAGGACAGCAAGTGGGGGCATTCCAAGGTAGAGGAATGAAAATTCATTCACCACCCAGGTGTTTCAGTCCCACCAAATGTGCAGGCACCAGGCCCAGGGGTCAGGGACACCCTGCCTGCAGCCAGGGCTCCACACCGTGCCTGCAGTGCCAGCCCGATGGACAGAGCTGCCTTAGAGGGAGGGCCAGGTCATCCCACCCACCACTCGAACACACAGGGCAGCACAGAGCCCAGGGCAGGGGGATACTGACCCTGGACATCACAGGACAAGGTCTGGCTGACCACACCAGTGTCGTTCTCCTTGTCTGAATCCCACTCGTAGACAAACAGAGAGGTGTGGGACGAGCCCGCATCAAACACCATCCCATACTGCAGGGGAAAATCAAGACATCATGGTAGTGGAGGAGCAGCAGCAGCCTGCCCCTGACCCCACCATGGCCCTGCCAGGGTGGTGGGGTCAGAATATGCCCCAAAACCCATCTCTCTGAGGCACAGCTGTGGCAGAGCAGAGTGGTGACCTCAGCCCAGGCATTTCTCACGGCAGCTGAGGGACTTTGTCATTCCCTCTCCTGAGGTCTGTGCAGCAATGCCAGCTCACACAAACATTTCCTTCATTGTTTCCTCATGCTTTTTCATTTTCCTTCACGGTCACATACCTTTTGTGTCTACACTGGCCCCACCTTGGGGCCAGCAATTCACCAACTCCAGTGCTCTCTGCAACCCCACAGCTGCACCCAGCCTGGGCAGGGACTGGCAGGACCATACCAGCTCAGTCCAGGAGGCCCCTGCCTGTCCCCCATAAAGCCCTCCACCTCACCCTAAAACCCTGCCATCCCTCTTCCAGCAGCTGGGGTGGGATGCCAAGCTGCAGGGGATGACAGGGGAGGCACGATCCTTGTGCCATGGTGTGAGCAGGTCGGGACAGGCTGGTGGGAGCTGGCAGGAACAAAGGGCCTGTGGATCTCTATCACCCTGCCCTGGGAGAGCAGAGAGAGCAGGTCAGGGCTCTGCCCTACCTATCTGTCCAAAGGTAATCTCCAAACACAGCCTCTGGTGGCTCGTTCCAGAGGAGGCTTCTCCCTTTGACTTTGAGGTGGCCAGGCTGTGTTTCTTCTGCCTGCACTCTGAGGTGGGAACAAAACATCCCCCTGCTACTGTAAGGCAGTTCCTAGCGGCCCCCCTTCCCCTGGAGATGAGCTGTTGTCTCTGAGCACCTGCCCAAGGTGACAGGTCTCTCCAGTGGTACTCAGGGACCTTCTTTTGGGCTCACCTTGACTGTGGGTGGCAGTGTCACATCTTCAACCTTCACCAGGCTGAGAACAAGGGCGATGATGGAGAGTGCCACCAGTGTCCCAATGATGGCACTGGTGAAGGGCTTCTTGTTAGCCATCATTCAGGTGAAGGCTCCTGTGAACCCAAACACAGGAGAAAGGACACCTGGGAACATGCTGTCAGTGAGATACACCCCAAAAGGTGACACTGTCTCAAGCTGTGCCACTCAGAAATCCTCGTGGATAGTCAGATCTTTTCCTGGGAAAAGCAATATTAGGGTAAAATAGGAGGAGCAAAGGAGAGAGGGATTGGTTGCCCAGCAGCCTGGGACAGCTGTGATGGGATCTCGACAATCTTCCACATCCAGCACCCACTCCTGCTCAGCTCCCTCCTACTGGGAAGGATCAGGTCTGGGAGGAACAAGAGAAACACTGCAAGGAACAGAGGAGAGCATGGGGAAACTGCAAAAACCCTCAGTGGGAGGGGAGGGGAGAGTGGCTGGTTGCATTGTACAAGCTGTCAGTAAGGTCAGCTCACCTGTGGCACTCCCAGCCCCACACCCAGATGTGTGTCTCAGGGCTGGCTCAGAGTCCTTACCGTGGCTCTGTGCTCCTTCGAGGGCAGCAAACCCACTTGGACTTGCCTTTTATATCCTTTGGAAGTGGATACTGCTGGAAAATCTTTCCCCCTTTATTTTCTCCCAGAGATCATCAGCCTTAGGCAAAACTCTCTAATACCTGTTCTCCCGTTTGTCTTAGAGTTGTATTCATGGCCCAGCTGGCATCTTCCTTATCTTCAGCCTGTTAGTCCCTCCTCCTCATTTGAATGGAATCACATGAAGGACACATCTCTCCTTTTAACCCTTGTCCCTCTGCCTCTCTGTGCTGTCACAACCCACCCCCATTTCTGTTCTCTCTGCTTTCACCAGCCTTAACCTTCCCATTATGAATCTCTGTGAGGTCTGTAAGAGGTGGCAGTGATTTTTCCAGTATCCAATGCCCCGGAATCTCACATAGAGTGGTAGGTGCCTTGATAATAAGTTTTATTAGAATGAGATCACATCAGAGGGGGAGGATGGCCCTATGAGAGTGGTCTCAGCAATGCTGGCTGGGTTTTGCCAGGGGACACAGGAGAGGCCCAAATGACACTTTCATAGGCCAGCTGGGGCTGTGGTCACCCCTTCCCCGTGTGTGACCCAGCCTTGTGCTGCTCCTGGGCTGGGGGTCCCTACAGGCCCCAAGGGGAGCTGAGGGAGTGGGGACGTCCCCAGCTCTGCCAGGAGCCTCCCATTGCTCTGGGCAGGTTGGAGGCTCAGCAGGGCAGGCAGGGTGTCCCATGGGCAGGGTATCCCACAGGCAGGATGTCCCATGGGCAGGGAATCCTGTGGGGAGGGAATCCCTCAGGCAGGGAATGCCACCCCAGCCCAGATCCTGCCCTGGGAGCGGAAGGGCTGGGGAGCACAGATCTGCTCTCTCTGGGCCACACAGCCAAGCTGCTTCCTGCTGATTGAGCCCCTGATAAGAGGCTGGCAGGGCTGTCACAAGGGCAATCTCCTGGAAAGACCCAGTTCCAGCTGCCTGGGCTGAGCTGAGTCACACAGGGCAATGCCTGGGGCGAAACGCTGTGCTGGGGAACCCTCACTGTGTCTGACCTTCCCAACTGTACCTGACCTTCCCAACTGTACCTGACCTTCCCAGGCACCTTCCCGGTGCTTTCAGAGGGCTGGCCAATTGCTCTGACAGTGCCACGCTGTGCCATTGGGGTGCAGCAGTCCCCGGGTGCTCCCCGTCCCTCACTGAGCTGGGGGCTGTGCTGGACCCTGCTGTTGGCCAGTCCCAGACCTCCAGGTCAGTCCCTCTTCCTTTTGCCCCAAATCTGGGCTCTTTCACCCTGTGTGCGAGAAGCTGATCCACACAGAGTTAGTTTCATTTCATACCTACGCAAAGATGGGTGCTGGGTGGTGACTCCACAAAGCTGGCACACCTTCAGCATGCCAGGTGCCCAGTTTTATACACTCAGGTCAATAGAAACCAGCATTTTCCTCCAGGTCATGACCTAAAGCTGCAGCCATTGGCTTTGCATTCTCTCCTTTCCATTTAAGGATACCTTGCACACTTATTTTACTACTCATGCTCTATGGGGAAGGGGCTTATGTGAGTAAGGGGTGATCACAGCCTGTGGGCGGGGATTTTACAATGCTAATGAGCACAAAGGTCATACAAAGTTGGTCTTTGACTTTGTCATTTGATTCGTAGTGTCCTCCTGTTCTGGGCTTCTCAGGTCATGGCTCTCAGTTCCTTCAGGTTTGGTTATTCCCTCGTCTTTCATAAGTTCTTTTGTTTGTCCTGTCCTGTATTTTAGTGAATTTTTAACCTTCTCATTGTACTTCATTTCAAGAAATCCCCACTTTGAGACATAGGGATATGTCCACAGTACATTTCCCATAAGTCTCACCCTAGTTTTGGAAAAGCATAGTTGACTCTTACCTGAAAGAACAAAATCAACATACACTCTTTTATTTTGTGATGTGATGGTGCATCAATACAGTGTTTACAGGCTCATGGCACTTCGTTTCAACATCCCCATGGCAATCTCCTTTGGGGTGGCTCCTGGACTGGTGGCATGGATGTCTGGAGCCCAGAAGGTGCTACCACTCCTGCATTCCTATCTCCAAACAACACATAACCTTTGGATTCACATGGATTCAGTGGAAGGGGGTGATGAGTGTCCACTACCTTCCCTGCTCTGGAAAAGCCCCGTTGACTGCACAGGGCTGTTCTGAGCATGGGGGTCTCATCTCCACCCAGCACAGAGAGGCACCAAACAGCCCCAGTCCTTGTGTGACATTGCCAGTGCACCCAGAGCTGACCAAACCCTCCAGCTCCAAATCCAAACATGGGATGAACAACTCTTCACTTGACTTTTCCTGATCTTTCTTATAGTAAAGAAACAGACCCAGAGGTTTTGTTGGGGGGCTGTTCCCCCTCTTGCCCATGCTGGCCCCACGTGCAGCCCTGCACCTCTGCCAGATAATGCTGCCGTGCCTGGCCTCTGGCAGGGTGAGGACACCCTGGCTCTGTGATACACCCAGCCCTCAATTTTCTTCAGGTAATCCCACCCAAAGGGGTTTCTCTGCTGAAACACCAACTTTCAGGGTGATGTGGTGTCTGAGCACTGCAGGACCTGGAAGGGCCTGGGTGCCTGGCCCCCAGGGGCACCTGTTCTCACGTGGCTCTCCTTGGGTCCTTGGGGCCCATCAGCCCCAGCCCTGTTTGCCTTCAGGGCTGTGCTCTGCTGAGAGTGAAATGTGGTATTTGCTCATCATTGAAAAAGGGACCAAATGTCTCATTCTGACTTCAGATAGACAAATCTGCTGTGGAGAAGGGTGGCTAGAGTACACACACACCCCTGTTTGATCTGCTTTTGACATGTATTTGTTTGTCTGTGGCCTTTGAAGTGACTCTGAGACTCAGAAGGGAGTTGCCAGGCTGGTGCAGGGACTCAGTGGGGCTCGAGCCCAGCTATCACTGCCAGTCACTGGGATGACTGGTGTTTGTGAAATGAGATCACCCCCATCACTGACATCTTCCTGGTGCCTTCTGAAAGGAAACCACCCTGACTCAGGTCAGAAGGGAGTCTCTCATTTCCCCACCACTCAATTTCTGCACCATGAGGTCACCCCATTCCTGAGGGTGGGAGGTGCAGGCAGTGGCTCAATGCACGTCCCATGTCTGCAAGTGAGCTGCACCACTTGCTTCTGCCCCACATCCCCCTTCCAGACATACCCTTGGTCTTGCTGTGACTTGTCTCAGCAGGGACCAGCTCCAGCCCTACCATCCAGTCTGATTCCAGCGAAACTGGTGGAGTTGGGGTCATCCCTTTTGGATGCCCTCACCTGCTGTTCCTGGCTGGCAAATAGCACACCAAACCTTCCCTCCCTCCAGCTGCCTTTTCCAGTGTGCATCCTGATTAAACATGGTCTGACTGTCCTGACTGTGACTGTCCTGGTGCCACCTCCCAGCTGGGGGTGCTCTGGGTCAGGGACCTGTGCCTGGAGCCAGCCCCTGTGCCACCCATGGGCACCCCAGTCCATTCCCCTTCCCTGTGCACAGCTACAACACAGCAGGGCTGGGTCTGGGAGTAGGTCCATCCCCCCCAGTGCTCAGATGGGACTTAGCACAGCACCCGCCTCCTTGTGAGAGCCCCCAAATTAATGATATGGCAGGGCAGGGTGCCTGGGCAGGGCCCCAGCTCCCTGCTGGGGGGATGTGCTGCCCAGCACTGCCATGATGGGCTCCATGTCTGCTGGGATACACAGGGATGCTCCAGGAGGTTGACGCTCTTACTCCCTCACCAGCTGTGTTGCCTGGGGGTGAGAGTATCAAGGTCAGGGTGTCTGGGATCTGGCTCACAAGAGCCCCAGGTGAGGGCTCTCCTCTGGCTCTGGACATCCTGAAGGATTTTTCTTCCTGAGCACAGGGAAAACAGGATGAAGCACCCTCAGGGCATGATTTGCCTTTCCACTAATGTCACAGTGAATGCTTGGGGACAGCATGGGAGGGAGACTGAGGTGAGCAGCAGCTCTGGAGATGATTGACTGCCTCCAACACAATCAATGGGGCCCCAAGAAAACAAGGCAGAAGGTAAAAGGGCGATGTGATGGAGGTGTCTGTCCCTTAGCAAACACTGGAGAGTATTTGCAGGAGGCCATGAAACCTCTGGATATGAGAGGTCTGCTTTGAACTTCCCAACTGGTCTGGAGAAGGGCAGCTTGGGCCATGGTGGAGGCAGCTGCCCTGCCACGGTGCTGGGTGTGGATAGCAGATGTCCCATATCACCTCACTCCCTGTATCTCATGTCATCAGGCTGTGCCCCTCTCTAACACCTTTCTCCTCAAAGTCTCAGTAAAGCTTCTGGGAAGCTGCTCCAGGGAGTCTCCCTTCCTTCAGCCTTTTCTCCTCTTCCTCGTGTCCCCGATGCCCTGGTTGCTCCCCTCTGGGCTTTCAGCACTCGCTCCACACTTCTCACATCTTTCCAAGAGCTGTGACTGACCTGCACTTTCATCTGCAGCCTTGCCATCATGGATGAAATCCTGGGAACAGCTACCCTGAAACTGGGGGC